GTTTTTTCAGTCAGAAGCCCTTTAGAAAGTGTGAATAGAACTCACCGTGTCACGTATGGGCAACCTTAGAGCAGCTTCATGGGCTCTTCTCACACAGGAACAGGCATTCCCACCCCGGAGAGGCAGGCGTCACTCCGGGCGTCTCGGACGGCGGTTCCAGCTTCTGCCTGTCTCAGGCAACGTGGGCTGGAGCCAGGGCCCAGGGAAGCAGCCAGAACACGGCAGGTGGTCCCTGGGCTCCAGCACCGGTGCCTCTGGAGGAGCGTCACCTGCTCCCAGGCACTTGTCACGCAAAGTGACCTGCCCAGCGCAGAGCAGGCAGTGGGCCTGGGAGCTCGGCCTCAGCCAGACTCGGCGGCACTGAGGGCTGCAGAAAGAAAACCTAGAAAATCGAAAGGAAACTTTTCTTAGGGGGAGGAGGAGGGGCTAGTTAAGACATAGACAAGACCTGATTGAAGTGGATTCTAGAATCTCTGTGGCGGCTGAGAGAGCAGCTGCCCTCTGAGAAGGTGCTCCGCCCTTCCCGCCGCACAGCTGCGCTCAGCCCTGCGGAGCAGATTCCGAGCACGTGGCCGAGCACCTGCGTGCCCCTCCCCCGGTGCTGTCGGGTGTCCATCGTTATTAACCAGCTTGGAATGCCCTGAGCACCCACCCGAACCCCGGAGGCGCCATCGCTAGCCTGGTCCTCCATGCACAGGGACAGTGTGGCTTCTTGGGTCATGGAGACACGCATTTCTTCCCCCACAGGCGACATCCGCAATGACCTGTACCTAACCCTGGAGAAGGGGGATTTCGAGCGAGGGGGAAAGAGAGTGCAAAAGAATATTGAAGTGACCATGTACGTGCTTTATGCAGATGGAGAAATCTTGAAGGTAAGGCTTGCCAGCCAGTTTGGAACGGAGGCTGACCCTGAAGTGGCCCTCCTGTTCCATCCTGTGGACGTTTCCAGGACCCTCCTCGGGCAGGACTGAGCTCGGATCACCCGTGTGCATTCTGCTCCGCCTCTTCCTTCGCCGGGGAGCCCCCGGCACACCCTGCTGACACTCGCAGTGTCACAGCCTCTAGCGTTCTTCCTGGAGTCTGCCGACGCCTTCCTGCTCCAGCTTAGACCTGCTCCCTCATTTGTCCCACTGTGGCTTCTGCCCTCCCACCTCGCATCGAGCTGCCTATTTCCCGTAACTTGCTAGATCCCACCCTTGATCCTTGAGCCACTACAGGAAGTTCCACTTGCTCTTGGTCCAGGGCGAGACTTAGGGCCTCACCGGCTGGTGCCAAGTTCCGGGACACGGAGCAGCAGGCCCAAGCCCTGCGATCACCTGCGGCCAGTGCACGCAGGGATCCTGTCGCTCATTGAAAGTGAAGACCTGGCTGCTTTCCTGTTGTCAGTGTCAGTTTCCCCTCAGTCATGTCGGGTGCAGTTCCTCGCGACTCACATGGCCTCGTTTGCAGAGCACTTGATTGCACTGCAAGTCAGTCTTTCAGACCTCACTCTTGTGTGTTGACAGCAGCCCTGTGAGGTGGGCAGAACAAGAACAGTCATCCACATTTTGCAGAAGAAAAGGGTAAAATTAGCCAAAATCACCTCCCACCACAAGAAGAAATAAAGGAGAACGTTGAAACATTGGTCAAAACAGTGATTTATCACTTTGAAAGCCCACCTCCGGGATTCAGGCATGTCCATTGTTTGCATGGGAGTCCAACCGAGGTCAGCAGAGCTGTCCGTGTTCACCCCCTACCCGTGCGGCTTCCTGCCCTCCAGGAAGCCTGGGCAGCCCCGGCGCATCTTCATGGCATGTTTGGAAACCCGGGTCAAGTTAAACCTGCCTTCCCCGTTGTAGCCACGGACAGCCCACTGGGGCAGCCTAAGGTGCCAGCGCAGCGTGGGGCTCCGGCGGTTAGGGAACCAGCTCTCTCCACTTGAGCACTTCATTATCTTCGTGATCTGGCCGTGTGCCGGGCACAGTTGAATTCTCCCGTGGAGTCCACTGTTTGCTTTCTCAGTGAGGATGCGGGGCCCACCGCAGGGCGTCAGGGACCCCACTAGGCGCCCGGTTTGTTGCAGTGCGTGCGGTTACCTCCGCCCCAGGGCAAGCGAGCACGGTGACTGCGAGTCCTTGCACCGTCCACACAGTTGTTTCCAAAAGCAGTGAATTTAGGCCCCATGAAGTTCCTCCTCTTACAGATCTGCCGGGCAGGGAGATGAACCTGCACGAGAGACGGTCCCAGAGGCGGAGACATCGGGGCCCTCAGGAAATGACACCTGATTTTGCTTCTCTCTTCCAGGATTGCATCAGCTTGGGTTCTGGAGAGCCAAACAGAAGCTCCTACCACTCGTTCGTCCTCTACCACAATAACAGTCCTCGCTGGGGAGAGATCGTCAAACTGCCCATCCCCATCGACCGCTTCCGCGGCTCCCACCTGCGCTTCGAGTTCAGACACTGTTCCAGTGAGTGAGACATCCCACATTCCTTAGGGGATGTGAATATAACTCTTCCCACCCCGGAACAGACTTGAGAGGGTTCTTATTATTGGGGCAAGAAAACGAGGAGTTGTGAAGAAATGGCCATTCAGAGATGGGATGTCATCAGAGGCTGTTCTCTGGACAGTGATTTTTAAATCGGGGGGCTGGCCCTAGGTGGTTTGGTTCAGTGGATAGAACGTCAGCCTGTGGACTGAAGGGTCCCAGGTTCGATTCCAGTCAGGGCACATGCCCAGGTAGCCGGCTCGATCCCCAGTAGGGGACGTGCAGGAGGCAGCCTAGCAATGATTCTCTTTCATCATTGATGTTTCTCTCTCTCCCTCTCCCTTCCTCTTTGCAATCAGTGAAACAACAGAAACCCAGGGGGTTGGGTATTGTTTGCTCCTGGTGTCTGACCTGGACGCTGGGAGGTTGCTTGTGTCACTCCCTGTGGGTGTTCCCAGTGTATCAGCTGCTTCCTAGAAAGCCTCAGGCTGACCGAGACCCGCAGTTTGGTCTCTGTGAGTCTAGAAGCCTGGGCCCTGGGATATCCGTGGACACACAGCCCCGTGCAGTTCTTACCTCTCCTGCAGTCAGGTTGATAGTCAATGAAAGTGAGGGACAAAGAAGTAAAGAGCCAGGTGGCAAGCACAGGGGGTTGAAATTTAAACGCACATTGGCGGCTAAAGCAGCTAACACTTGGCTGTGGTTGCAGCGAAGGACAAAGGGGAGAAGAAGCTGCTCGGCTTTGCCTTCTCGCCCCTGATGCGGGATGACGGGACCACGCTCTCCGATGACATCCACGAGCTCTACGTGTACAAGGTGCGGCTCAGCGGTTGAGCATCGACCCGTGAACCAGGAAGTCACAGTTTGAGTCCCGGGCAGGGCACATGCCCGGGTTGCGCTTGATGCCCAGTTGGGGGAGGCGGGGGCATGCAGGAAGCAACCGGTCAATGTTTGTCTCTCATCATTGATGTTTCTATCTCTCTCTCCTTCTCTGAAATCAATAAAAAAATATATATATATGTAAAAGGCATGTCAGCCATGCTGGGGAGTTTCTGGACAGAGCACAAACATCAACCAGAAACCCCCGTGGCGTGGCCAGGAAGGACTCTGTGTTCTCTGCTTCTGCCCGCAGTGTGATGAGAACAGCACGTTTAACAACCACGCCCTGTACCTGGGCCTGCCCTGCTGCAAAGAGGACTACAGCGGCTGCCCTAACATCCCCTCCAGCCTCATCTTCCAGCGCAGCACCAAGGAGTCTTTCTTCATCTCCACGCAGCTCTCCTCCACCAAGCTCACCCAGAACGGTAGGTGACGGCGCCGCAGGGCTGCCCTCCCCACCCTCCGGTGCTGATACATGTTAAGGGGGACGGGAATTACTGCTGTCCTGCCGCAGTGAGGGGATCCTTGTCATCGAAGCTGAAGGAATCACTGGCAGTAGCAGCCTCTGGTGTTTCCCTTGTGTTTGGCAGCTCCGGAGCGCACACCCAGAGTTCACAGATGTGTCTTTGGCCTTGATCTCAGCACTGAAGAGGCTGTGGCCACGCTCACAGCTATTTCTGTTCCCTACCCCCGCCCCAACCCCGCTATCCGTGTCTGGGAGAGTGGGTGTTGCTTATCCTTGGCTCAGCCAGGGCTCACCACCTGCCGGCTTGCTTTCTAGTGGACCTCCTTGCTCTGCTGAAGTGGAAGGCCTTTCCAGACAGGATCATGGACATCCTGGGGCGGCTGCGGCACGTCAGCGGAGAGGAGATCGTCAAGGTCTGGCTTCCCCTTAGGTCCCATGCCCTGTGCTGCCTGCGCTCCTGTAGGCCTCCTTTCCCTTCCTTGGGGTCTTTCTTATTTCCTTACTTTGTAACCCTCTCACCACCCAGCCTGATGTCTTTCCGCTGTCTGAAACAAGTATACAAGACGAGTGTGGATGGGAGAGTTGGAAGGGGTTGACCTCGGCGAACGTACCTCAATCAGATTGAGGACGTTTTCAGCAAAGGCCAGCCTGGGAGTACCCTAATGAAGTTAATAACAATGTACCTACCTATATAGTTTGTTTAAAAAATTTGGCTCTAAAAAGAAATTTCAATCGTTGTACTGTTGATATTTGGCTCCGTTGACTAATGAGTTTGCCGACCACTGGTCTGGATTCTAGAAGAACTAAATCTGCCCCATCTCTCCCTTAGCGTCCATGGCAGGGAAACTCCTTACTCTCTGCCTCCACCACTTGCCCCAAGTTCCTTTGCGACATTCCCATCTGATGGCCGAGCAGGCAGCAGCGGCACCGCCATCCCCAGCTGTCTCTCTGGGCTCCTCCGCGCTGCGCAGAGTGTTGGCCCCCCTGGTTCTAGCTCAGGAAACCCCAGGCACTTCCCCACAATGGACTGAACTGCACTGAGGAAAGTGGGGGTGCTTTTGGTGATGAGCAAGAGCAACAGAATGTAGGACAGAGACGGAATCTCAGGAGGCTGCCTGCCCACATGAGCATTCTTGGCTCTGTCGTCACAAGTATCAGACAGCGACGCGCTGTCTCTACTTCCCTGTCACAGCTCCGTTGACTCCATAACACACAGCACAGTATCTGCAAATCAGGAACAGTGTGTCCCTCTGTGCACTTGTACGAAGTTGTGGATGAGCTCCGTTTTAATTCTACGGTCAGGGTAGCATACATTTTAGAAAGACCTCTTAACAAATAAGCTCATCCTCGTTTTTGAAATTTAAGATAAATTCATACTCAGGGCATTTCTCCTTCTGAACACATTCACAATATCATGGAGTGAACAGACAGTCGGAGAGCCTGTGATCTTTTAAGCTGGTTGTGCTCCTCACAGGAGAACATTTCTACCAGCAGGTGTGGTCTCAGCACCAGTCATTTGTCTCAGGCCAGCCAGTGCGAGTGTGGGGAGAACACACTAGCGTTTCACTCTTTATTAGAAGATTTCACACCTCACAAAAGTAGACAGAATAGTATAAAGAGCCCTGTGTGTACTCAGCACCCGCGCCAGGCCATGGCAAACCCTGCCCATCCAGTCCCTAGCCACACCTCCCACCTTACATCCTTTTGAAGGAAATTGCGAGCATGGTTTTATTCCATTGCATTCTGACCAGCAGAACGTCAGCGTTGATCTGTAAAGACCACTGCATCCCAAAGGGCGTCTTCTTCCCCTTGGTGTCTGCATCTCAGGAAGGTGTGTGCCCTAAACACAAGCAGCAGCAAGAGGCAGTGCTCCGGGCCCTTCCCCCAGTGACGGGCCTCGCAGGCTGCATTCTCCTCTCTGGGCACTAACTTCTAGATCCGAACATGGCTTCCGTAGGGAGGGTGTCCCTGCCACATCCTCGCCCCAGTGTCCTTTGTGGAGTTAGGCCCGTGGAGAGCAAGGGACGGCTGAGCTGCTGAGGTCCCAGGAAAGTGAGCTCTTTTTCTCAAAATGATTTGCATTAGAATCACCTAGATTGTCTTGTTCTAAGGCTGCTCTCCTCTGTGGATGTCCTAAGCTTTTAGGTACTTGTTCTTTCCTTACAAGGTTAGCACTTTCCCAACAGGAAGCGCCTCTCTGTTCCTCTGGGCTGTCAGCACATACCCAAGTCCACCTCGTGAACCCTTTAGCCTATTTGTAAGTGGTGGTTTGAGACCTTAGGTCTTTGATGTTGTTTATTGGGAGGTAAGCGCATTGGTGCCTGGAACAGGCCCCGGGACCTGAGCCCTGACGTCTGTGCTCTTGCAGTTTCTGCAGGACATCTTAGACACACTCTTTGTGATTTTGGATGACAACACAGAGAAGTACGGCCTGTTGGTGTTCCAGTCTCTGGTGAGTCTCATCCTTCCAGGCTTTTCCTTCTTCCTGCCACATGCTTTTGAAAGGAGGGAAGTAAGTTATTAGAGTGAGTCAGCACAAGGTTTGGATGTTTCCAGTACAAAAGGGACTGAGGAGAATCACCCAAGACCAACCAGCCGACCAGGCAGATCCCTGCGAGATCAAATGGGCAGAATGCAGCATGGTCAGGTCCAGGCCTCAACTTTGTGGTTCCGATACTCGGTCTCATCACAGCTGCAGAGTTGCCAGGCCCTGAAATAGTGGCCTGCACTACCCAAAGGCCCAGAGACCATTACGGGGAGCAGGCGGTCCACTTCTTCACACACACATGGCTGTAAGCCCCAGGACAAGCAGAGACGCACTCCTGCTGGCCCTCCCTCTGTGAAGTCGTTCGGGAGCGAGGAGTCGCAGGAGGCTGTTTAGTGAGAATGGACAGTGATCAGGCTGTTTCATGCACTTTGCTTAACATGTCCAGTCCCATGGGAGGCTGTATATTCAAGCAGAACCAGATACTCCAAGTCTACCCGATAGACGAGGGCAGAGACAGAATGGCACTGGCATAGTTGCCCCTTCGGCTTTTCTTTGTCCTCGCTGCCTGGCGGGCCAGCCCCATTTCTGAAGGGCACAGCCTTTCTTGGCTAATTTGGCTCCGAGGACAATCCTTGCTCCCTCTCTTCCCAAGTGTCTGAGACGCATTAGTATTTATGCACCTGCACGAGTATTGTTTTGCCTTCTCCTGGGTCGTGTTGTGTACCCAGCATTGTTAGGAAGAGGCTCGGAGCAACACTGGCAGACAGTGGAGCCAGGTCTGGGTTGGGAGTCCAGGAGAGGCAAGAGCAGAGCAGACAGACAGCATCAGACTCAGGATGGAAAGCACACGTTCGCCGCCCACGGGGAGCACTAGATAAAACACTGACTGTTTGCCATTCCTTGAAGAAGAAAGAGTTCTGTTTAGTGCGGGGGATAGGGCTGAGGCCTCCAGTGAACCCAGGTATCTCCGCCAGGTGTTCATCATCAACCTACTCAGAGACATCAAGTATTTCCACTTCCGGCCTGTCATGGACACGTACATCCAGAAGCACTTTGCTGGAGCCTTGGCATACAAGTAAGTTCCTTCTGCATCCTTATCGGGGCTTGAGTCCTTCATTGAAGAGCCACCACGCTGCTTTCCATGGTGGCTGCACCACTTCACATTCCCACCAGCGGCGCGCGAGGGTTCCGGTGTCCACATCTGTGGCAACACTTGTTGCTTTCTGTCTGTGGTTTTCTTTTTTCTTCCTTTCTTTATTTGTTTATTTATTGTATTTGGGATTTTTTTTATAGGAGCCTTTCTAAAGGTTGTGAGGTGGAATCGCACTGTGGTTTTTATTTGAATGTTTCTAACAATTAGTGATGTGAGCATCTCTCAACATGCTTATTGACCATTTGGAGAAAAGGCTATTCGTGTTCTTTTCCCATTTTTGAATCAGGTGGTTTGGTTTTTGTTTTTGAGCTGTGGGCATTCTTTATATATTGTGGCTATTAACCCCTGTGGGTATGTAATTTACAGAGATTTCTCCCATTGCCTTTCACTCAGTTGCTTGTGTCCATTGATGCACAGTTTTCAATTTTGATGTAAACCAGTTTACCTGTTTTTTATTTTGTGTCCTGTGCTTTTGATGTTAGACCCAAGAAATCATTACTGAGTCTAATGTAATTAAGTTTTACTCCTATGTTTTTGTCTAAGAGTTTTAAAGTTTTAGCTCTTACATGTAGGTCTTTGACCCATTTTGAGTTAATTTTTGTTTATTGTATAACATAAGAGCTCGACTTCATCCTTTTGCATGTAGATACCCAGCTTTTCTAATATAGTTTGTTGAAAAGACTGTTCTTTCCCCCATTGAGTAGTCTTGGCTCCCTTGTTAAAAATAATTTGGCCATATACATGCAAGGGTGTATTTCTGAGCCAGTACCACACTGTTTTGATCACAAAACTTTGTACTAAGTTTTAAAATCAGGAAGTGTTAGTTTTCTAAATTTGTTATTTTTCAAGATTGTTTTGGCTATTTGGGGTTCCTTGAGATTCCATATGAAATTTTTTCTCTATTTCTGCAAAAAAAAAAAAGAAGCTACTGTGGGTTTTCAGCTGACATTTTAAACCATAGTTTCTTCATAGGTGTCAAAGCTGCCAAAAATATGTCTTGCTTTTTCTATGGAAGGAATTAGCACAATTTTGCAAAAATATAAGTAAAGCCCAAGGATGGTGAGGCTGTGGAGTCACTGGAACTTTGACACTTTATGTCACTTTGGAGAGCAGGCACTGTGCGTTTTACACGTGTCACCTCATTAGTATTCTCAATGCTTCAAGATGTACAGTTGTTTTCTCCATATTTTAAATGAGAGAATACAGCACGGAAGGACCGAATAACTTGCCCCAGGATACTGAGTTAGAAGCTGATAGGCTCTGTGTGAGCCCTGCTGTCTCACCAGGGCCTACACTCTTGACCTCTGTGCCCTGTTGCCATGTAACCGTGCAGGCCTTCTGACCCTGTAATCCTGTTTCACTGACTGACCTGGTTCCTGAGGAAATAAAGCAGAGGGGATGAAGGTTGAGCGAGGAGGGGCACATGGGACTCTGCACCTTTATTCAGAGTCTTCTAGTCACTAGTCATGGCTGTATGTTGTAGACACAGCAGTTTTAGACAAAACAAAAATACAGACAGCCCAAGACTTTGGGAAAACTTTCTCGTAATCAAAGAAGAAATGTGTGTCAGGGAGAGTGATAGGAGTGATTGTAATTGCTGCTTGAAATGTGGCAGCTCTTACGGACTGCGTGTTGTCCGGTCTCAGACAATCCGAGCGTCTCCCAGCGGCAGTGGGCCTATCGCTCCGTCTAGCTCAGCAGCAGGTGTTACTTCCTGTGTGGCTGATTCGGGGCTGAAAACATTTCAGGCTGCATTGCGTGTGGATTAAAGTGGGTTCCTGGGACTGCTCTCTCCCCCAGGGAGCTCATCCGCTGTTTGAAGTGGTACATGGACTGCTCGGCAGAACTGATTCGGCAGGACCACATCCAGGAAGCCATGCGGGTAACTACTGGCTGACTTCGAGAAAAGTTAAAAAAAAAAAAAGGAAAGAAAGAAAAGACATGCTTGTCTCCAAGTTGGAATTGTCCATCGCCTGATTTTAGTGTAGAATTCGCTGTCCCTTTGCCCTTCGTTCCCTGCTGTGTTAGTTCCCGACCATCTTTAGCACCTTCCCATCCCTCTGTGCCCACACCTCAGGCCTTGGAGTACCTCTTCAAGTTCATCGTGCAGTCCAGGATCCTGTACTCGAGAGCCACGTGTGGGATGGAAGAGGAGCAGTTCCGGGCCAGCATCCAAGACCTTTTCCACTCCATCCGCTTTGTTCTCAGCCTGGACAGCAGGAACTCAGAGACACTCCTGTTCACTCAGGTCTGTGGCTGCAGGGGAGCGTTGGTGCGGATTCTGGTCTGTCTGAGTTGGTGATTTCTTTGTCCTCTGGCTTCCAGGCTCCTGTGTGTTGGGTAAGGGGTGGTTTACAAGAAAGTACCTACTAGAACGGAAAGCTGCTTTTACTTCAAAACCAGCTGTGGCCCAGCTGCCAAATATAAAGCATCCCAGTGGCTCATGGTAGAGGAGCACAGCTGTGTCCTCAGGCGTCCTCTTCATTTACTTGTTGTCCTTTTGTTGTTGTTAATCCTCCCCCAAGGCTATTTTTCCCATTGCTTTTCAGAGAGTGTGGAAGGGGGGAGGAGGGCGGGGAGACAGGGAGAGAGAGAGAGAGAGAGAGAGGTGAGAAGACACATCGGTTGTTCGCCTGAGCATAGACTGCAGCATGGCAGACCTGTGTCCCAGTGGCATAAACTCCCGCTCGCTCCAGGCCAGTGTCTGCTTCCTGATGAGCCAGCCAAGAGAAACAGCCTCCCCCACAACCTGCCTCTTAGGCGGCGTGCCCTCTTGCCTCCTGTCTCTAGGTGACGTTCCGTTTCCCTTTGTACGTCTTGGGTTAATGGTGTAAGAGGACTGAGAAGTGGGAAGCCTCCTTCATGCTACCCGCATGTAGAAGAGAGAAGAATGAGAACCAGTGTTTATTGAAAGCCTACTGTGTGCCAGGCCTCCTACTAGAAACAAACTCCATACACCTAGTGTTTTCCTCAGACCCATGTCAGGAGGTAAATAATAGCATCGTCCCCGTTTTACAGATGAGAAAACTGAGGATTAGGCAGTAACTCACCCAAGGTTCTGTGGCAAGTAAGTGGTAAAGCTGGGATTTGAACTCAGGTCTGTCTAATTCCAAAAACCATTGTCTGTCTCCTACACTACTCTGCCTCCTGAAGGCTCTGGAATTATTATCAGATTGTCCTCAAGGGGCCACCCCATGGGTCTTCCAGAGCTGAGATTCTGGAAGAGACGTCTCCAAGAACACACACTCCCCAGGCCAGCTACAGCTAGGTCACTGAACTCGATGCCAACATCGTCGAAAGTCCTCAGGAGTTCATGAATAAGTCCATGCATTCTTCATCCTTTGGCTTTACACTTGAGACCGCCAGGCATCACATATGAAGGAAATAAAGCCTTCATATTAGTGGGTTCAAACAAATGTCTCTATCCTGGGAAAGGTCCCGCTCTCAGCTGGACTGCGGGCTGCAGGGCTCTGAGCAGAGTTGGGTGAGCGCTGCGTGCAGGTGCTCGGCCCTTTCCGCCGCGCTCTCCTTGAGACGCTCTTGGCTTGAGTTCGAAAGGTCAAGAGCTTGATCATAGAGACAGAAACAAACATTTGAATCCATTTTATAAGCAAAAACAACATGGATATTAAGCCATGTTGAGCTGACTTCATTTTATAGTCCCTTCTCTTGCCAGCAAATGCCCTGGCCAGTGATGAAAGCTTCAAGTGGCCTGGCCCCAGTCAGTTCTCTTGTTTTGATTTCCATTTTGGCTCTCCCTGCTCCATGTCCTAGATTTACCACTTACCTGCCACAGAACCTTGGGTGAGTCATTGCCTAATTCTCAGTTTTCTCATCTGTAAAATGGTGATGATGCTATTACTTACCTCCTGGCATTGGACTGAAAGGTCAGGGGAGAGCCCACCACAACAGGGCCTGCAGTGCCTTCTCACCCTCTCACCGCCTTTTATCTTTGTCTGAGTGTGCACGATGGAAACACACTGCCTCCGAGCTAACCACAGCCTCACTTGCTTCTGCAGGCCGCACTCCTCAATTCCTTCCCCACCATTTTTGACGAGCTGCTGCAAATGTTCACCGTGCAGGAGGTGGCAGAGTTTGTGAGAGGGACCCTGGGGAGCATGCCCAGCACTGTGCACATCGGGCAGTCAATGGATGTGGTGAAGCTGCAGTCCATCGCCAGGACTGTGGACAGCCGCCTGTTTTCTTTCTCAGGTAAGTCAAGTTGGGATGAGAGTCAGAGTCACCTTTTCAGGGTGCTAGCCACGTAATCACAGGATCAGTTTTATCAGCCATCACGTAAGAAGCCAGTAGCCCTTAGATGCAGTCGTTTTAATAAACTATAATTATAATTTTTGGCAATAAAAACTTTTAAGTTCAAGAATGCAGACAAGACATAGGACTACTGCCTCACTCACAATTTATTCTTAGAGACCCACATGGCATGGCCTGCAGAGCAACTCCAGGCCCATAAGTCTAGCCTGCTGCCAAGAATGGGCCTGCCACATCCACAGCAGGGGGGGCCATGGAGGGAAAGGAGGGGGAGCAGAGAGAAGGGTCCGGCCCAAGGGGAACAGATAAGCTGAGGAAATAAAAAGAACCCTCTGTGCTTTCCCAATTCCTGGTCTCATCAGTCAGATAGATTGCTTTTCCTCCCTGTGAAGGAGCCTCTGGGATTAGACAAAGAGATGGATAGGGAGCCCCCCACACCCCCAGACCGGTCAGGGCAGCCTAACAAACACCACCAGCAGGCCAGGCTGGTGTTCAGAACGAACCGCCAGCATCAAACCCGAAACCACATTCAACATGAGCAGCTTGCAGCGGTACCAGGTGCTCCGTGGCCAGATGTTAAGGTCAATGTGAGCCTGATCCTTTAGTAGCACGAGCATAGGAGAAACTTCTAGGGCACAGGAACAGTCGGAAATGCTAGCAGATCAATTACTGAATTTTTATCATTAGAATTTTTTATAATAAAAAATGTTAAGTTTGACTTTTGAAATATAACAGCAATAATTTCACAGCCCAGCGCTGCACACATTTGCAATACTAAACGAGTGTTCTCTTGAACTTAGCTCATTAGTGGCGTCTTGCTGATGGAAAGCTGCCACCAAGAACATCCGCTTTTCTTTCAGTCTCTGTTCAGGGTAAACGCTCTCCTCACCAGCTGCTGGATTGAAGGTTTGATCAGGTTGGGACACTGTCACTGAGGCCAGCGCCACTCTTGAGCTTTGTGCTGAGCAAGATGCTTTCTCACTGACACACTTCACTTCTAGTATTTTTGCATGTACTTGCTCCTCCCATAATCGTGTAGAAAATTTGCTCTAAAACTTTATTGGGTTGTTGTTTTTTTTCAGTGTAAATTTTTATATTTAGAATTAGGCAGCTGGACTAGATGATCCCAGTTTTGTTGCCATCATCGTCAGGAGCCAGTGGAACATATGCCTCCTCCCCTCCCTCAGCCTGACCAGGGTGCCGGCGTGGCCACATCAGTGTCACAGAGCTTCTCCACAGCCTCTCTGATCTGGTGCTTGGTGGTCTGTGTCTTCTGTCTTATGGCTGACGCGGTGGTCCGGGAATGTGATGGCGCACCGCACCGTGGGCAGGCTTGTCTCTCCTGGGGGCGCTCTGCTGAGGCTATTTGGGGCCTTCGGAGCCTAGTGTCTTTGGCTGTTGGAAGGTGGGTGACGTGCGGGCCTTCTTTTTTGTGTGGCTGTGGACGCCTTTCAGCGCTGCTTTCTTTGCCTTCAAAGCCTTTGCTTTGGCTTCGGCTTTGGGAGGGTGGGGCAGGGGCTTCCTTCTTAGCTTTCGGTGCCATCTTCCTAAAAAGCGATTAGGTTTGGAGATGACAAGCCACTGCGTCTTCATTTGCATCTCACTCCCATTGAATGCCTGAGTTGTAGGTCTTCCCTGAAGCAGGGTCATTTAATCAGCACTCATTCTCAGAGCACATTGGTCTGATCCTCAGCAGATTCTAGTAAAAAAACTACTGTTTCTGCGGCAGCTGTTGGTTGTGTCATCCTGCTTGGCTGGTGTTTCGGTCTACAAATAGATTATGAACTTCTCTTTTAGCCAAGCATCTTTTTATTTTTTATTATTATTTTTAAATATATTTTTATTGATTTCAGAGAAGAAGCGGGGAGAGAGAGAGAGAGAGAAACATCAATGATAGAATCATTGATCGGCTGCCTCCTGCATGCCCCACGTTAGGGATTGAGCCCACAACCCGGGCATGTGCCCTGACTGGGAATCAAACTGTGACCTCCTGGTTCATAGGTCGATGCTCAACCACTGAGCCACCCGGCCGGGCATCAAGCATGTTTTTTAAACATAGGAGAGCCGTCAGTCCATTTTATTGGAACACATTCTAATAAGTATTTGGCAAGGCAGTCCCCAAATCTCTGTGTCATGTGATCTGTCTTTGGCTGGCAGAGATTGTCTTTCTGAATTTCATCTGGAACACTTAACTATGGTGAAATGTGAACAATCAATCCAAAATGCTATGGCTCTTTGTGTTACTGGTCATCTGACTGAATCGTGCTGGCCAGGCGTGGTGGGACCTTCAGGGCCCAGAAACACTTTACACTGTGTTATCACCACACTGTGAGTAAATGCAGAGGAGGCCATTAGCACCTCGTTCTACGGTCCTCGTGGTGGGGTGGAGCCCACAGGGAGACAGCTGCCTAAGGTCTTAGAGCAGTGGTTCTCAACCTTGGCTGCACATTAGAATCGCCTGGGAATCTTTTTAAAATCCTGGTTTCTGGGCCTCATCCACCGGAAATTCTGTTTCTTTGTGATGGGGTGGGACCACAACATTAGTAACAAAGAAACAGAATTTCCGGAGGATGAGGCCCAGAAACCAGGATTTTAAAAAGATTCCCAGGCGATTCTAATGTGCAGCCAAGGTTGAGAACCACTGTCTTAGAGCGAATTAGTAGAGTAGCCTTCCTGAATGCAGGTGCTGAATAGTCACCTCCTGATGACAGTGCTGTTTGAGTAACAATGAGGAGAAAAGAAAAGCAGGATTGGCGATAAGGATTAGCTAATTATCAAAGGCTTAGGACAAAAGTCCTGCTTCTGTCCTGTTCTTGCTGTGCTCACACCTAGCATCCCACAAGCCTGAGGGGCCGTGAGGAGCTAATGGCTGCACAGAGTAAATGCTGGGGGCGGTGTGCCAGGACACCTAGCCAGGCGTGGGAAGAGGGACCGTTCAATCCGATCAAGTGCGCAGGTTCAGTCAGTGCAGCTCGTAGAACTGGAGTGGCATTTCAGTGGCAGGCTCACTAGAAGCTAAGCCTTTATTTGGAGTCTAGTCAGGAAGGAGCTTTCATTTGGAAGCGCTGTCTTCACACTCACCCTGCACACAGTGCCACAGACACTAAGTCTTGACCAGAGAAAGACAGAGAGAGCTGGAAGGGTAATGCTGGGGGATCTGAAAGTGCTTGGAAGTGGGTTTCTAGGCCTGCACAAGAGAAGGGCGTGGCCTCCAGCGTGGCCTCAGCCCCAGCCCCAGCCCCACCTGCCACTGGCTTCAGCAGTGGCTCCTTCCGGCTGAAGGGCTCCTTCACCTTTGTGTTTCCTCCCCCAGAGTCCCGCCGCATCCTGCTCCCTGTGGTTCTGCATCACATCCACCTTCACCTGCGGCAGCAGAAAGAGCTGCTCATCTGCTCAGGGATTCTCGGCAGCATCTTCTCCATCGTCAAGACCAGCTCTCTGGTAGTGGCCCCCCACCCAACCCCCCTCAGCTCTGCCCCGGACTGGGGTTACCCCAGCCAGAGGCAGACCAGCAAAGAGCGCTTTGTATACTGCTCAGTCAGAGAAGCTTTCATCAGTGACAGGAAGGTACCGAGTGAGTGGAGGCCTGTGTGTGCCCAGCAGGCTACTCAACACAATTCAACTCAGTCTTGCTGTTTTTAAAAGTTTCACTACCGTAAAGCCACCCTCAGTCCACCCAGAAGCATCGTTGTCTGCAGAGCAGAGAGCCCAGTCCCGGGCCGCGCCCTGTGCCATCAGCGGGTTGGTTCTGGGCTCCTGAGTGTCCTGAGGGTTCTGAGGGCCCTGAGGGTGCTCGGCACAGACGGGGGCGGGCAGGCTGGGAGGCAGCTGCTCATTCAGACTTTGTGGCAGCTTCCTGGCAGCCTGATCCCACCCGTATGGCATCCTGCGCCTGCCAGATAGGCCAGGGTGGGTGAGAGATACAGCAACTGCTGCCACAGGCGCCCTGAGCCTCGGCTGGCACAGCTGTGCTTGAGGAGGGAAGTTTCAATGCTTGTGCCTATTTTCTTTCTTTCTATCTTCTTTTAAAAAAATCTGTGGTGGAAGGGGAGGAAGGGAATGAAAAGACACGTATCAGGCATGAATAATTTATTTTAATGATATTTACTATATGTATTTATGATAGTAGAAGAAAGTTATATTTCTTATAGGAAATTTGGAAAATATAGGAAAGTATAAAGAAATAAAAACAAAGATGAGTTTTTTATTACATCACCTTATTAAATTGAGATAAGATTCCTAGAAAATAAAATGTCAAGTGCATTGAAAATGACGGCCAGTGGCCAGGTGATAAGAACACACGGTTGAGCCAGCCATGCACCGGAGAGGTGCCCGAAAGAGAATATGCTTGGTTTGTGCAGGACACAGGGACCCAGTGGGGTGCTCTGGTATCCAGACTTAAAGTACCATCTGGTGCTGGCACAGCGTGGCAGAGCCTCTGTGAGGGTCCTATGGTTCGCTCTTGGCTCCCGGCAAGGCCTGGCAGCTCCCCTTCCCCCCAGGCCTCAGAGAGGCCACACGGGTGCATAAGGTCTCCTAGTGACCAAGGTCAGACTTGGCAGCTGGGAGGCTTATTGCTAAAAAAAAATTTTAAAAAAAGGAGAAAGATTGAAGGATAAAAGAAAAGGAAGAGGAGGGACAGATAAAAGCCTAAAGGAGATGGTCTGGTTGTATTTGCGGGGCTAGAGAGTTTGGTCCAATTAATCGCTTACAATTTCTCAAAGAGGCATCACAGGGAAGAGTGTGACAGTCAGTCCAGCAGATGAGAGACAACCTTGGGCCCAAGAGCTGCTCAGATTCTTCGTGTGGATCGGGCCGGGCACCATGGGGTCGATACTAGCAGGCGGTAGGGGAGGAGTGCGATTGCAGCTGCGTGAGAGCAGAGGGATTCTCTTCCTTGTTCGCCTCTGTACACTCCGGTCCTCAGACAGTGGCTGGCACGTGATAAATGCCTAGTGAGTGATGGACATTTGGACCAGTAATAACCTAAAGAGGCTGGAGAAGGGGCCATGGGGGTTCCTGTGAGATAATGGGAGCTGAGCTAGGGGGTGTGAGATTGAATGTGGGAGCTCTGTAAAGGGACAGCACATGCTCGTCCTGAGCTCAGAGCCTCGTGGCTGGGAGGCAGCCTTGTGAGGAGGCATGCTGTGTTCTGGGGGCTGCTCAGAAAGACGCAGACCCAGAGTCCTCTGGGGGGACCAGCGCCCATGAGCGAGAAGCTGAGGAGCTAGAAGGGGTTCCGGGCACACCTGGCAGCAGCCCGGCTGGCAGAGACTGAAAGCAGCCAGAGAGGAAACCCTGAGAAGGAGACCGTATTCAGAAAGACCAAGACTCTCTGTGTGCATTGGCAGTGGTGGGGGTGCTGCTCACATAGCTGGTCGGCAGCACTGTGCTTTCTCCTGACATTGACAGGGAAATGGAGAAAACCCCTAACTCAGGACCTCGTTTCTGTCCTGTGTGCTATTAACATGTTTGCCTGCAGTTCAGAATTGTGGGTGTCAGGTGGGTGTCAGGTGGCGCTGGGTAAGGCCTGGGCATCATCGCCCAGTGTCCCACCTTCTCAGAGCCAGTGCCAGGGTTCCCTTATGCTCCCGTGTGGAGAATCCAGTCCCGAGACCAGTCCCGAGTGGCTGACCTCGTGAGTGCTGCTGGCTGCATCGCCGGCCCGTGCTAACCGTGTGCTCTCTGCCGCCCGCTCCAGGAGGCGGACGTCATGGAGGAGGTAGAGATGATGGTGGAGAGCCTCCTGGACGTGCTCTTGCAGACTCTGCTCACCATCATGAGCAAATCGCACGCTCAGGAGGCGGTAAGAGGGCAGCGGTGCCCGCAGTGCACAGCCGAGATCACTGTTAGTAACTAACATCAGGTTTCCTATTTCTTGTCTAACCCGGGGCTCCTCCACACCAACACCATTTCACCGCACACCTCCTCCATCTCCGCTGCCCCGCATGGCGTCAGCATGCTGCGTTCCCCCCCCCCCCCCCCCCCCCCCCCCCCCCCCTCCACCCGGTTCCCACTGCAAACTCTGCCCATACCTCCCCCCACAACTGTAAGCGCCCAGTCACACCGCAGCCCCCAGGTTCACACCGCAGCCCGCTGCAGGGCAGACCAGAGGACGTGCCTGGCCCGTCCCCTGCACGCTGCCTTCGTTGGCCTTTGCCTTTGAGCCAAGTCAGTCCTCTAGTGGGTGAGACAGAGATGCGGTGAGATGGGTGAGGCCGCAGGTGAAAGGCAGACTTCTGGGAACAGCTCTCCTACATGCTGTGCCCAGCAGAAGGGCTTTCTCAGAATTCGCTTGAATCTGCAGGTCAGTTCTTTCTTCTGTAATGTTCGTACCTCAGTGTCGGGCCTCAGGAAGAACGCAATGCGGTAGGATCGCGCTGGCACCCTGGACAGCGATCTCCGCGATGGAAGGAGAAGAGAAACAGGGAAAGCCTCTCGGGAGGCCAGAGAGGCAGCCCAGAGCCCCCTCTCCTGTGCCCGGGTTGGAGCGGGATGACATTGCCTGGGACCTTCCAGTCGGCAGGTGGCAGATGACAGTGATCGCTACGAAGAAAGCCCTCTGTGGGGGCAAGCCGCGCTCCACGCGCCGGGGCGGGCAGAGGGCAGGCCAGCGCTCCGGAGCACTGGGCTGGTGATGAATGTCCACTCCCGTCAGTGACCCTGTTGAGGGCGCCCTCACTGTAGGCAAACACACACCTACATGTCCTGTTAACCCGTTCTCGCTGACAGTGACACAGTGTTTGCTGTGGGCCCTTTACAAATATTAACTCATTTATTAGCAATACTCATCGAGCGTTTCATCTTAGGTAGAGTTAATGAAGTTGACAATGACTGCAGTTTAGAGAGCACTTTTTATGTGCTGGGCCTTTCACTAAATGCTTCATGTGCGCTCATCTCATCCTTACAGTAGATCTAGGAATTTTGGTTTATTATGCCCATTTTCCAGATAAAACTGAGGCTCACATACTAGTACGTGTCTATATCTTGCATACATGTATGTATAATAGTCTTGTGGGTCTAGAAAGGATTTGAGAGACTAAAAAACTGTTGGCAAGTTCCCATGAGTTTAAGACATTTGAAAATTGTCCAAATGAAGTCATTTTGCTCTATTTTTTTCTGAGGAGGCATTCTTCCACAAGGAGGCTGTGCCCACTGCCCACCACCCACCTGCTGCCCACTGCTGCCCCGCTGCCCACAGCTGGGAGGCCGTGGAAGTTTTTGGAGTCCTGACAGCAGGGTTTTCTCCCGCGTGCCCCACTTGGAATTTGAAGAAAGTTTAAAGACTCCTTTTTTATCTTTAAATTTTCACTGCTCTTAAAGCCCAAAGCTTGTCTTCTCATACAGGTCAGTTTTGATTCCTGTGCTTTCCAGACAGTTATGTTGACCTACTATGTTCCAATTGCTTGGTCCACTAACCACATGTAAGTCTGGGAGGTCCCCAAGGAGTTTGTTGTGGAAGGACCCAGCAGGATGGGCAGAATCCAAATTCTGTTCAAAGAGGGCTGAGCACCCTGATGCAAGTGGCCCCTCCAGACTTCTCTTTGGTGCCCGGGCCTCATATAGTAACGAAGGACTGTGTCCCAAACTGTCCTCGGAGAAAAACGGGAACCTCGTCTTACCATGCGGTGCTTCTTGATTATAGGTCAGTGATGGCGAACCTTTTGAGCTCGGCGTGCCAGCATTTTGAAAAACCCTAACTTAACTCTGGTGCCGTGTCACATATAGAAATTTTTTGATATTTGCAACCATAGTAAAACAAAGATGTATATTTTTGATATTTATTTTATATATTTAACTGCCATTTAACAAAGAAAAATCAACCAAAAAAAATGAGTTCGCGTGTCACCTCTGACACGTGTGTTATAGGTTCGCCATCACTGTTATAGGTTAAGGTTTTCAACCAGCCCCACCTCAGAAACCTCCCTACAACTCCCACGCCCTCCAGGCCTCGCTTAGCAGAAAGGAAAGCTCACTTTGAGGGCCAGAGTTGTCGCCTCCCCTTTCATAATCGTGGGGCCATTTCAGACCCTCCCTTCTGTCCCCCCTTCTGTGGATTGGGGTTGTCCCTTGTAATGGTCTGTGCTAAGTGTCTCTCGGGTTTCCCCAGGGTGAGTATGTGTCCTGCCTTCTCTCGCTGCTCCGCCAGATGTGCGACACCCACTACCAGCACCTCCTGGACAACTTCCAGAGCAAAGATGAGCTCAAGGTGGGCAGCAAAGCACGTGCCTTCCACCCAGGGGGCAGCATGTGGCTGAGACTGCAGGGGCTTTCCCCTGGCAGGGACAAGTGCAAGTGACCAGGCCAGGACTGCAGGGTGTGAGAGTCGCAGCCGC